GACCACGAATAAAAATTTGTTCGTTCATGTTCAGTGTTTTGGCTCGAAATACTACTCATAAATTATATATACATATATATATATATTGATAGGTAGTATTTCGAGCCGAACACGAATGAACAAACTTTGTTTCGTGCTAGGCTCATTTATATATCGAGCACAAAAAAGGTGTTTGTGTTCGGCTCGTTAACTTAGCGAATAAATCGAACACAAGCTTCTTAATGAGCCGAACACAAGATGTTCGCGAACAACGAGCCGTTTTGACAGCCCTAGCCTATACCCATCACCCTCATCAGCAACATCCAGAAAGATAAAAGCTATCAAGAATAACAAAATTACCTGCAAGTCGTCCATAACAGATGAATATGAATCCTTCACATCAACAACAGCAAGACCCTCCGGAAACTTTCTAATCAAGGATAGCAACTGATCTTTACTCTTCAAATCGTGTTTGGACTGCATGTTGTACAAGATCAAAACTATATCAAACATTGAAAAAACCCCCACACAATGCTCCAAAACACTAACTCCATATAATCCATAAAAGATATGTACTACTTTCCTTGTGCAACTCCATGCACTTTAATCTGAAGTTAAACAACTTGCGAAATAATATGTAAGAAAGATTGAAGAAAGAAAATTGCATTAGTTTCAAAAACACCATACTGGTTAAAACAAGTGCATTCGCACTAGTCATTGACTAAAATTTACCACCTGAATGTTAAAATCATAATCAAATTCTACTTTATCAGCCACAAAGTTTTAGAAACATTATACACTTTGAATGTCATGATCCACAACAGAAGATAATACATGATAAAGAATATTTTCCTCAAGGGAGAGAAGTTCAGCCACAGGCACAGCCCCACAAAAACTATGCTAAATTTGGAAACCAGTGTTTACACCAATGCCACAAGGAGCTTACATAAAATTTTTATTTATTTGGTGATAACCCCATGAGCCCTTGATCTGATAAGCTGATTTTGATGGTAACAAACATATGCCTAAAAGTACTAATGTTTCAAATTAAGTGATTATAGGATTGATAAAATGTAGAAGTTATGTTGAATTGATCAAACATGGATACATGATTAAAATACAACGAAACAAGAAGACATTAAAAAAGGACTCTTTCTCAAATAAGATTGAAGGCATGCTGTATTGAGTCTTCTATTAATCTTCGAGCATGTTATTGCATGTCAATTGAGTTCCATTGCTCTTCATCTAAACTTGAATGAATTCAATTTAAAAAAATATTAAAATTATTAATTTATTATTTTGAATTTAGCCGTCACTCTGTTTTAATCCTAACAATGAAATATATATGTTAATAAAATCGAATGGAAGGTTATATATTCTATAATAAAATTATAGAATTGACTTTCACTGCTAGTAGGTTTGTAGCTCCCTTTAAATAGTGGACCAACAAAACCTGTTTACAAATAGCAATTAGGACATTGGATGATCAGCCATATGCAACATTGTTAGGTTGTCAATGGACTGCCATTAAGTCAATATTGAGGCATCATTAAATTTGCAGATCATTATGAATTATTTATAGGATCTCTGTGAAGCCACAACATGTAATGCAATGACCAGTAATCTTTATGGCCAGTAATCTTTATGGATGGAAACCATTCATTCATAAAACTTTCCTCAAAGCCTCTTCGAAAGCAATTAGGTAAGGTTTGGATGCTGTAATTAGAATTATAAATAGAAATCTTTGAGACCATTAAAATGTTAAAATCCAATTGTCAAATCTCATTTGTTCCATTTCACTCTAAATCCCTCATTCCAAACATTTCAAGGAAAAATCAAAATCAAGGTAAAAAGCAAAATTTTTTGATTCATTGTAAAAGAACATGATTATGCTATCTTTCTTTAACAGTCAAAAGAACATGATTATGCTATCTTTCTTTAACAGTCAAAAGAACATGATTATGCTATCTTTCTTTAACAGTCAACACATTGCAATAAAGTAATTTAGTTTCCTCCCATGTATTTCATTCTACATTTAATTTGCCAAGTCTTGGAAGGATTATTGGATTTGTTTGTAATTAATGTGTGTTGGGCAGCAATCACCCATTAAAGAGATTATGATTGTGATGATTTTCCACTAAACCGATCAAGTGAATTTGCCAGCAATAGTAGAATCCTAATCTAAGGGGGGATTAGGATGAAAGTAGGCCAATTGAGGTAGAAACATAAAAGTCTGTGTTCTTTTTTCTTTTGCATACATTTTATATTTGTACTCTAACCGTTTTTATCTTACTTGTAGTTAAAAAACCCTAAACCCTACAAACTAAAACTTTAAAATAAAAAAAAGAAATGATACGATATTATTTTTCAACATTCTTACCATTAGCATGAATATAAAAAATGGAAATTGAAGAAGAACAAAAAAAATTGATTCTTCTTTTATTTAGCCATAACCATCACATGGACCTAAAAGGCTATGCTTTATCAACAGCGCAACATATAGAAGATCATAAGTGCAATATACAACGTAAATTCAAAGATTCAAACACATTTTCTCATCTTTGGCTTTGTAACTTGGAACACTTTACTCATTTAGCTAAGGATTATTTCCGGATACAAGAAATTTTTAGTTCCTCAACTTGCAAGCTCGAAAGATAAGATTTCTGGCAAAAAAGAAACAAGAAAAACTACAATTCAATTTTTTTTTCCCTAAGTGAAGTGCTATCTCCTTATCACGATCAGAAAATAAATAGTGCAGGACATTACCTTGTAGGAGAAACACCTCCCATCATAATGTACTTTATGATTATTCCTCAAACTGTCAAATACAGCTTTGTTGCCCAAGATGTCCACATAGCATGCTTCATTTATTTGCTCAGGAGTAAAAGATTGCCTTGTCTGAACATAAGCACCCAAAATTCTTATGTCATCGTCCAGGTGAATGCAAAAGGACAGATGCATTATGCATGGCAGCAGTTATCATATGAGAATATGACATAAGCTAGAAATAAAAACACTCAAGATGCTAAAAGTGGTATTATGGCTATTTCATGCTTATATCCTATCATTTCAACTCATATAACTGAAAATGATTGTATTTGCATAAAGATTGGCTTTAGAAAGAAAAAAAAAAACTTTTAAAAGGGGGAGAAAAACTACTTTGCACATGCAAATAATGGTGGCAGACAAAAACTCAAATAGCCCATTCTTGCTCCATTCCTTTTCCTATCTGATTTTGTGTTAGAATAGCAGGTTGATAGATTCTCCAATGAAATACATTTTTTAAAAAAAATTTCAACAAGATAGTCTGATATTACTAATTACCTCAACAGCCCTACTAAACATTAGTATTTTAAAGTAAAAATGATGTTCAAGTCTCATCCTTCATGGCTGCAATTACAAGTAAAAGGGTGTTAAGCCCATGCCTCAAAAAGTAAATCAATCACACGCTTTATCTGCGCGCCAACAGGGGATTTCCTAATAGCATTGATGTGCTGAAGCCTCTCAGTATCATTTGAAAATTTCACAGGGGCAGCAACTCTTGATGGAGCTGAAGAAGCGCTTGGCGGGGCTTGTTTCTGAGAATGGGTAGACCTTGAACTTCTGTTGGCTATGCTAGTAAGCGTGGATTGGCACTTCTCCTGCTGCTGTTTAAATCTGTTAAGGCTCTCTTGCAACGACATCAGGAAAAATTGACGATAATACCTAAAACAAATATTCAATGCCCGATCAGTTATATAATAGTTTGCTTTCAAATCAGACCCAAGTAAAAAAAATAAGATACTGCAGTAATGATCTCTCGCTTTGAAGAATTAAAATGATGATAAAGGAACAAAATATAAACCTAATGAGCAAATTAAAATACAAAACCCCATTTCTCCCCCGTTTTACCTTAAGGGCTGTCTGGTAAAGGAAGAATTAACCAGGATTTAAGACAAATCCTGCCAGAAGGCCACCATGGACAATTTAAATCTCTAGAATTCGCCAATTTGGCGCCTAAAACAGGGATTCAGTAAATCCTTCCGTTCGGCCGATTTAGTAAATCCCGAAAGCGCGAAGAGAAAGAAAGGCTCGCTTGAACTCACCTTCCTCAATGTTTCGGGTAGAAGCGGAGCGGGAGGAGGAGAAAGATGGGAGTTTCGGTACACTTTGTAGCTTTAGGCTAGGGTTTCGAGGAAGATGGGGACGGAGAAGGAGAAGGAGAAGGAGAAGGGGAAGGAGAAGCGGAACTTATGTAGAAACGTAAGAATAGTGTGCTCTGTAAATTATATATTAATTAATAAAATTGAATTATATATTAAATTCTAATTTATTTAATAAAACTGTTAAGTAATTATTAATTAGTTTAATAAATAAATATTTATTTATTTATTAAAATATATTAAATTATTAGTTAATAAATAATTAAATAAATAAATAATTATAGAAAAACAACTAATTTAATGAAGGATTAAATTAGGAATAAAAATTAAATTTATTTTTACTTGTTTTAATAATTATTTTCATTGTTAGTAACAAAATAATTGAAGTTTGATTTTTATCATCACACACCACAAATCTCGTCAATGCCTTTTTTTTGGTGAGCTATTTCATCATGGATTTCTTGAATTTGGATAAATGATATCTAATTTTAGAAAAACTATTACATCAGGACTCTGCATGCAGAGTTGTTTTGGGAGTTTAATTTGTGCTGACATGTGGAAGACCAGCTCACCTACATAAAAAAAAAAAAATTGAAAACGTGCGACCCGACACGACTGATGCGTTACAGAGCCTAAACAAATGTTTTTTGCGTTATTTATCTTTGTAGTCGTGTTATAGGAATATTCTCTCGTATTATTCTGAATATCACATGAATAACACATCAATAACGAATTAAATAACCCATGAATAATACAGAAAATATTCAGAATAACGCGAGGGAATATTCCTATAACACGAAATATTCCTAAACTCTCAATAACACATTAAATAACTATAAATTATTAATAAATATAAATTATGACATCTAAATAAATTGTTTTTATTCTATAACACACTAATAACAAACTAATAACACACTAATAACACATAATAATACATAATAACACACTAATAACACATAATAACACAATTATGCACTCCCTAGCCCGCGGTATAACACGTGGGGAATATTCTCTACGTGTTATACCGCGGGTTATAACGCCGCCCCACGTGATATACAACCGCCCTATAACACTTCCCTAGCCTGCGATATAACACGCATGGAATATTACTCATGTGTTATACCGCGGGCTAGGGAGTGTATAATTGTGTTATTATGTGTTACTATGTGTTATTAGTGTGTTATTGAGTAGGAGAATATTCTTAAACCCTCAATAATACATCAATAACATATGAATAACGCGAAAAGTATTTAGAATAACTCAAAGGATTATTTTTATGTGATGAAATATTTCTATAACTCATCGGTCAAGTCGGTTCGCACGTTTCCATTATTTTTTCATTTTGTATGTAGCACGAGATTGGACTCCGCAAACAGTTGTGCATGCGGTGTACTAACGTAATAATTGGATTGGCTTGTTTGAGCATGTTTCATGGTTTTCTTTTATCAAATTTAATAGTTTTAAAATTTAAAAATATTAGGTTGCATTGATTAAAAAAATAATACAATAAATTAAATATAATAATTAATATTAATTAGCCAAAATATAAAACAAAAAAATTTATTTTATCATGAAAATTAATTAAATAGATTTGAATAATTTAAATAACTTAAAATTATTAATTACTAACAAAAAATTATTTTATATACTCCATAATAACAAAAATTAAGAAAATACATCCATTATTTCATTGACTGGGGAAATGTACCCGAATACTAAAGCAAAATCCACTCCTAAATTGGAAGGTGCCTTAGACTATTATATAAATGAATCCCTGAGCATAAAAAATACACACACATATATAGATATATATATAATTGATTAGTAGTATTTAGAGCCAAAACGAGTCGAACATGCACGAACAAATCTTTCTTCGTGTTGTTTGTGTTCGGCTCGTTAACTTAGCGAATGAGCCGGACACGAGCTTGTTAACAAGTCGAACACGAGCTGTTCGCGAACAACGAGCCGTTTTGATAGCCCTAAATATATAAGCACTTTGGTTGGAAAAAAAAGGTAAGAAATCTCAATGTGTTGGGTTCAAGAGTTCACCTTGCCCAAAAAATAAATTTAATAATTAATAATAAATAGCAAAAAAGTATGCATAAAAATTAGTTCATTATGAAAGTTAATTAATTATTTATTATTAATTTAATTAATTTTGATATTTCTAATTAATAATCAAGTTAATATATATATAAGTTTAGAAAAAAAATATATGGAATCAAACTGACCCCAAATTTTTCACAGTTTAAATGAAAGAGCATTATACCTCAAACCATGTATCTATCCTGAAGGATAAACATAAGGCTTGAGAATGAGACTCAATTAAATAAACAAAGAAATATATGACATCTGTTTGGTATGCGAAACTATTTTATTAGCCAACAAATTTTCATATTTAATACGAAGAATTAAATAAGGTTTATATTAAGTTGGGTTCAAAAAAATATCCTATAAGGGCAAGCCCCTATAGTTAATTACATCTTAAATGACCAAAGTCACTTAAGAAAACTCTCGATAAAAATCAAGAAATATTATCTTCAAGGAGGTCAAAAGGATATGACTTTTCAACGAGATCGGACAAAGAGATGTGAAAAGGGAATGACTCAAATTTGGAGCATTTCGTTGTAGAGTTCAAAGGAGGAAAAACTAGGGGATGTCATAGATCCAGAGAAGAACCTGGGTGATTTCTCATTCTATCCTATGGTTTGGCTTTAGTTTAGAGGAAAAGTATTTAAATGTTTCATCCTGCCAATTTTATTAATTAGGGCTTATATTCGTGTGAAACGATTACATAAATAGCCTAAAAGATATGAAGATTTAGGTCGTGACAGACGACAACCTTGGTATCCTAAGCAGAGCTATACAAAGGCCTAAAGAAAAGTTGAAGATTTATGTTGCATAAGAAAACAACCTCGAAATCTTATGGATTGTTGTTTAATTCTAAGAAAAGATATGCTAATGTAGATTCTCATGTTGTTGAAGATGGCCTTGTTGCTCACAATGCTAGCTCCAAACTTCTTGTCGTGATGAGTTTAAGTTTTCTAATGTGTTAAGTCATGATGTCAAATCAAATGTTCATATGATTATGGTCATTTAAATATTATGGGGCATATTAAAGTTGATTGGAGCGACACTGGTTAGGATCCTACGGTTCTCTCGTTCCGGCATCACTATTTTTTATTGGATTCACTTAGTCCAAATGAATTTACTAAACTCAACTTAATGAGTTCCATATTTTCATTTAGACCGTGGGAAATCTCATTAGCAACCATAGGTTACCTCCTTCAAGGGATTCCTGATTATCCGATAGAGACGTCTTAATTGATTATAGTAGTATATAAAGCTAAAATGAAAATAAATTAGTATTTTAAATAAGAAAATCATTGGATAATTTCAAAATTCATCATATTTTCTTTATGATGTTTTTTCGTATGTATTTACATGTACAAAGGATTTATTTTGCTGCATTGAGACATTTGTATATTTGTGATTATAAGATAGGCGTGGAGAAGTTATGCAAGAGAAAATGCTTTTGTGAACTGTAAAATTGTACCTTACGAGTTTTCTCGTTCCTCCACCTGAAAAGTCAGTACTTGCAAAACACATATATGTATATATAATTTTGCAGGAATTAAAGCATGCTTATAAAGGAAAGTATAAAATACAAGTTTGAGTTATCTCTACCAGATCCTATGTTATATCTTAGTGGTTTCAAATTTTGAGGATGACTCCATTAAGCAAATCATAATAATTTCAAATGTCTTTCAAGATTTTCAAAGGATTATGAAGAAGTCTCGGGTAATACCCTAGACATTTCATAGTTCCTGAAATTACCTTGAGTTTGTTTTGGTCTTATTGTATTTGTTATATAATTCATCCAATTAATACCCTTATGCTCAATGAATCATGATGTTTTGATTATCCCTTAAGTGGAGTAAACATCACTTGATATCTCACTTAAAAGATTATATAGGTAAAGACCTTTTGGGGGCAACTTGACTTAATTAAGAAAATTAATTAATTTGATTTTAAAAATGGGCTTGTAGTGTTTTGAAAGATTTTAAATTAATTATAAGTTATTTTCTAAAACCTCATTAGATAAAATTTTGATTAAGCCTAATTCACTATTAAGCCCTTAAGGTTTAATGGGTAGATTTGTAATTAAGAAAAATGATTTTTTAATATCTATATATATATATATATATAATTCTTATCATAAATTATAAATCAACTCAAAATCATTAGTTGAGGGTTAAAATCAGTGAGTTATGATCTTCTAAAATTAAACCCCTCACTTTAATATCTTCCCATTTAATTATTCTTCCAAATTTCATTAATTTGAAAATTTATAAATTTATCCTTTATGAAATTCCAAATTTTCATTAATTTGACCAAAGGAAAATATGTTGAGATTTTCATACCTATTTTACACTGTTTTTGATGATATTACACTCTAAAGAAGGGTATTTTTGATGGTTTGTTGCATGTATGATGAATTATGGTCATTAGAGCAAAAAGATGTAAAAACGGTGCAATTTGGAGCAAAAACGAGCAAGAAATGAAATTTTGCTCTGTCACCTTTCGATAAGTCTTTCGATGCTTAATCTCTTTTACGCTTCTTGCATATTTTTGAATGAGATTACACTTTAAAAGAAGGTTGTTTTCATGCTTATTGTGTAGGGCTATCTGTTAGGAACACAACACAACTGAAATGGAGCGAAACAGAGTTAAAACGGAGCCAAACGGTGGACCTGCGCAGTCTGCTTGCTAACGACGCCCAAAACGACACCGACGGCGAGATTTACCCGAGAAGACCAAAAAATGACAGAAAAGCTCGCTGACGGCGTCCGGGACGACTATGGACCGACTTTTGGTGGTTATGGGCCAAAATTCAACGTATTTGGACGCTTTTTGAAAGGACTCTTGTGGCAACTCTTCAAACTTCGTCCCTACACTTTAAAAGAATGAATTTAGGTTAGAAAAAAAGGGTTTGTGTGAGAGGAATGTTAGGAAAAGTGTGAAGAAAGTATGAGTTTTTTAGAATAGGAGTAGAAATGTAGATTTCTACCATTTTG